AATTGTACTTTTTTAAACATGACAACCTTCCAAGTAAATGTCACATTTCAACGTCGCTTGTACCTAAATCACATTTGAACGAAAAACACATTTTCATCTAAAAGCACCCTTGGCGTGGTGTTCGAAGTTGATCTCCTGACGATTCGCTGATAGATGTCGCTATAATTTCAAAAAATTGCATTTTTGAACAAGCTCAATGCATTTTATAATGGATACAATGATACAGAGAAAAGGTACGGGTCTGGATTTAAGAACTTTAACGTCAAACATGAAATGTGCTGTTTCAAGTCTAACAATAAACAGCCGTATTGCATGTTTATAAACATACCATTTTAAAATTACCTTGGGAGCGGAACTGCTTTTTTTCGTTACAGCACAAAGCCACAGAATTTTAAAAAATGAGCTTATTTTACGAAAATTCGTCATATTTTGTCCCACAAAACGTAAAGCTTTTTAATCGAAATTAAGCAAGAAACACGATTTTGAAATTTACATGGAACTCATAACTTTCGAAATTAGGTCAACGTTCGTATTCCCAGAATTTTTCAAAGGTTGTAAAATATCCCTTAATCTGCCGCAACATTCCATGATTTGGCAACGCCGACACCCTGTATATAATGTAATTGTCTGGTCTGATATTCTGGTATATGTTAACCAATAAGTTGGCTACAGCTAGTTAAATATACTAAGTGACATATAAATCCGAACACCCAGTTTAAATGGTTTTATTTTAATAAAAGTTGGTGAATGTATTTATTTTACTGTAAATAACAAGTGAAAAAATTTTCAGCCTTATCAGTTGGACATTCCGGTTTTTATACTGCTTTTTTTTAATTCACTAACGCTCTAAAAATGAGTATTTCAGCCGCAGTAAAGAATCAACGTTGGCGGATCCTTTACGATCGGTTACGATGCCTAGAGTACGGAGACCTGTACGATTTCGTCAACTTAGTGACTTTGGTAGGGGCCGTATAGTGGGACTTCGGGAAGCTGGACTTTCTTTTCGGGCAATTGCAGTTAGAGTGCAAAGAAGTGTAGACACTGTGGTTAGGTGTTGTCAGGCATGGCTTCGAGAAGGCCGTACGCAAAGAGCAAGGAGCACTGGACGCCGCCGTAGAACAACAGACCGTGAAGATCGCCGCCTAAGATTATTGGCCTTAAGGGACCGTTTCTCCACTACCAGGTCCATTGCAAATGAATGGTATTGCAGAACACGGAAGACCTATTGGCATGCGAAGTGTTTACCGACGAATGAGAAGTTTTGGCTTGTTTTCATACCGGCCACACTGGGTCCTCCCTTTAACTCGAGAACACCGACGTAATCGCCTTGAGTGGTGCAGACAACGGTCACTCTGGGATCAGGAATGGAACAGTATTGTCTTTAGTGACGAGTCTCGATTTTGTTTAGGCATGCACGATGGTCGTGCCAGGGTTAGAAGGCGACGTGGTGAAAGGAGGAAGCCACAGTTTTTTGTTGAAAGACATGTTCATCACACTGTTGGAGTTATGGTTTGGGGTGCTATAGCTTATGGTTCCAGGTCACCTTTAATCTTCATCAGAGATAACATGAACGCGCAGCGTTATATCCACGAAGTTCTAGAACCCCATCTTTTACCCTATCTCGACATCCTGGCAGATCCAACTTTCCAACAAGATAATGCCCGACCACATGTTGCAAGAGTCACAATAGACTTCTTTCAACATAATGATGTCACATTGTTACCATGGCCACCAAGATCTCCCGACTTATACCCAATTGAGCACGTGTGGGATATGATGGGTAGGAGATTGCTCAATTTGCAACGTCCTCCTCAGACTCTAGAAGCACTTCGAGAGGAGTTGGTGGTTGCCTGGAATGAGATACCACAGGAGGACATTGACCACCTGATCAGAAGCATGCCTAGGCGCGTTGGAGAATGCGTAGCACATCAGGGTGCATCCACACATTATTAAAGGTCGAAGGGCTTTAAAACAGTCTAATCATTTTGAAATTTTTATCATTTACTTATTATGCTTCATTAAGTACTTATAGAAAATTTTATTAAAATAAAACCATTTAAACTGGGTGTTCGGATTTATATGTCACTTAGTATAACTTCGGGATAGCAGTTAAAAGCTAAAGCTGGGTGGGATTTTTAGGGTAACACTTCTGAAGTGTGTGCCGCTAAGGTATGACTAGCAAAAATTATGATAAAATGGCAGCCTTATTCAGCAGAATTTTATCAAAAACCGTCTGGCCGTGCAGTCAGTCGGCAATGCCGAGTATAAAGGCAACATAACAGTTCAATATTTAGCGTAGGAAATGAGGATACGGACGGAGTCGACGGCGTGAAGCGAAAGTTCAACTTCCTCCTTTAGTCCAGTCAAACTGGAATACACAACACGCAGAAATATGTTTTTTATTACGTTTAAAATACCTCTCATTCTTTTTTCATATCATATTTTATGACTTCCTCGAATCCGTGACAGCACTTTGCATACAGGCACTCTTCAGTAAGAGGTTTTCAAGAGCGCATCCAAGATACTTCGGCAAAAATGGCGTCCAGCATATCATATTTTTTCCGGAGATACTAAAATTGTACAAAAAATCATGATAAAGATGCAAATTTGAATAGTATGAGCCTGCTTAACTAACTTGATCCACTTCATTTTTCGCAGCCAACTTTTTTCTCAACATTTATGAGTCATTCTTTTACCCCATTGTACTGACCTATGAGAGCGAAAGTGGCACTTCCTGTTCGCGTTGCCGTTGATACGGACTGAAACGGCGTTGGTGCAAAAATGAAAACAAACGCGAATTCATCGCGGGGCGTGCCGCGATAGTGGCGTTGGTGTGTGGTCGCGGAAAATTGCGATTTTTACGGTTGCAACAGGACCACAGCGGTTGCAAGCGATGCTGATGCTGTGTAGAGTGAGAGCGTATTTCTGCCGTATCTGCATCTTCGATCAAACTCAGCATTAGCGTACGAAAAAGCGGTTGGAATAAAGATTCAGGCGAAAATTCAGATCCAATGCTTATTTTCGGATATACAAGAAATAATTTCTTCTTGTTCCAGGTACTACTAGATGTTAAAAAGTGTCTTTTTTTCTGTCGCCAACGTTTCGGCGTTTACCTTTCGCCTTTTTTGGGGCTATCGAATGAGACACAAAACATAACAAACATCCCTAGCGCTGAAAAAGGCAAAAAATAAACGCCGAAACGTCGGCAACTTGAAAAAGAAAACTTTTCAACATCTATACACGGTGGCGCATCGAGAACGAAACAGACGTAGCTCAGTTTTTTTTTTGGAAAAACGCTCAGACCCGTCGATTTTGTTTTCGAGGGGGACACAAGTTTGGCAAAAAGTCACGTTAACACGTGCAGCCCCCTGGGCGGGGGTGACACCAACCCTAAAATCTTAAATGGAAAGGGGGGTCGTGTGATACCTTATTTTGAAGGTCTTACAATTCCCTTTATAATGATGTAAAATACATGAAGTTCAGTTCAGTAGTTTTGAAGATTTATTGATTTAAAGCTTAAAGTAGACTTTAATAAGTACATCAGATTAGTTTGTACTACTTTCAGAAGAAATTTGACTAAAAGAATTTACTTAATTTTCTTCACTACGCCCATGGTTTGTTTGTCATTTTGTTGTTGAAAAGCAATTGGAGCATTTTTTTGTATCAAAAAAGTTATTTGTTGAAGAAAGATAAGGAAATATCTCGTACTCATTTTAAATAGGAATTTGCTAAAATAACTTGTAACGCTTTATTACATAAATTAATCATAGTATATTCCACAGCAGAAAGAGTTGAAATTATCGAAATATTTTTCGGAAATAATCAGCGCTAATAGAACAGCAGAAATATTTAATGAGCGACATAAGAACAGTAACGTGCATCGAAAATATGTTCTAGAACTTGTAGCTAAATTTCGGGAAACTGCGTGAGTCGCCAATAAAAAACGCAACATTGAAAATCCCATAAGGAACGAAGCAATAGAAGTGGAGGTTTTAGGGCAAGTTTATGTAGATCCTACGTTAAGTACCCGCAAATCGACGGGTCTGAGCGTTTTTCCAAAATAAAAACTGAGCTGCCTGTAAATGCGTCTATTTCGTTTTCGATGCGCCACCCTGTATATCCCAACAATCCGAAGAAATATAAAGAGCTATGGACTATTTATTTTACTAGACTAACAAAAAAAAACGCGCTTGCGGTTGCGAAAACATGATTAAAACTTTAGTTCAGAAGGGAAAATGTCACAGGAGGTGTGGGAAGAAACCTTCAACACGGCACTGCTATGACGATGATCTCATATGTAGAGATTCTTTGGTTTGAACTTTTCAATTTCTTTGTTTTAGCCTAGGTTACACATAAGAGGTAGTTGTAAAAAAATGTGACCAGTCTGTTAAATAAAGTAGCTTTTTAAAAAAACGTTCGTTATTTGTATTTTCATAATTGGCTCAAGTTCTTTTGCGTCTAAGAGACATCTTGCGGATCCGGCACTTTTCCAAATTTGCACATGTCCAACCTATCCAATAAATAACAGTTAAAAAAAAACTAAAAAACACACTTGTACCTCACCGAACTAAAAAGTAGAAAATAATTTTTAATTACAAGCAATCAATCATAATTAATGACCTCAAAATACAGTATGTTATTAACAGAACAATTCAATTCAGATTAAAAATCGCTGTCTGTTAATAACTTCCATCGTAATTGCCGGGTTTTCGTCTTATGCATAGCGACAACCTGCTTTCCTATCAATCCGGCTGGTGACAGCACACTACATGCAGAAATTGCCGAGTCGATCTCTGATGGTGGGCTGAAGAATAGAAGACTTTGGCGAGAGACAATAATAACAACTTCAACTATAATGATAATTAATCGTGACTCAAACCACCTGCCGACTGTAGTACCCACCCAAGTGGGTCAATTAGACTCGGCGGCTTAATATAACATAAACGGTACGGTCAACGTCTCCGGCCGCCATCTTGAATGACCTTACATTCCTTATTTAGGCTACGAACACACAAACAAGTACCACAAATATGGCTGTGGTACTGCTGGACAAGCGTTTCTCGGAGATGCATTTGCCTAGATAACACCGTTGCGTAACACATGTATACCAGGGGATTCAGAAACATCCTATGATGAAAATACGTCCATAAATATATGAATGAGAACAGTACTGAATAATAAACAATTTATCCATAATTACAACCAGCCATTACGGTAACTCGTACGATAAATGTAATTGCAAAAATGCAGAAAAACTGATACAAGTTCTGGCCCAATACAAAAAAGGGTGCTACTCCATAAACTGGTGATTGGGGCCAAATATCCCAAAATCTGGAAATCAAATGAATGACCAATGCTTCAACCGAAAATGCTCACTCACACGAATTTCAAGAAAACTTCCGCAGCTGAACCTACACAAAGAATAAACTGGTTGCTTATGGGTAGACCTCAGAACCGTGTTATTTCCCAAAACAATGTTGCGGGTAAAGGGGTCTACGACTGACCAACAATATTTTACGAGAACATTTCTGAGCCAGCCCGCCTGGAAACTTGGTAACTGCTGCTTGCAATTTCTTCACCGTTTGAAAACATGTTGAATGATTATACACGTTTTCCATGCCAAATTGGTGGATAAGCGCCAGCAAATCGTTACACTATGAATGTAGACCGACTTACACCGAAAACGGCAGTGCTGTTATCAGTACATTGATCGATTTATGCGTTTTACATACTAATGCCACCCCAATCATATTATCGGTACTTTGTATTCTCACGCCTCGCCCGAAAGAAATGCGAGGCAAATAAAGAGAATTTTATCTATTATCTGCCTGGTTAGACTTCACAATGAGTTCACATTTTTCTTACGCGCTCTAGTTTGCTATTATGTACAAGGAAAATGAACTCCGAAATGAACGATACTGTTAACTGGTTTCGTAATTCGAACAGACGAAAAGCGGGTATAACGTGAAAGTGTTGTTAGTACAATAAAAGGTAGGGTTTATTTCTTCTAACCAACATGTTGAAAATGTGAGTCTGTTGAAATTCAGTATCCTGTCAGAACAAATTTATTTAATTCTTACTTGAAATGTAATACACGATCGTCCCAACATTTTGATTGTTTTTCTTAATTGTATACGAAAACTTACTTAATCACTTTATGCAAAAACCACTCGCTGAAAACGCGAAGGGCTCATTTTGACGCGAGAAACTGTTCCATAAACGAACCTGTAAAGATATATTTAATAACAGCTGAAAGCGTTTCGGCAATTAAACTCTTGAAATTAAATTAGTCGATTTATTTAATAAAAGGGGGTCGTTGGAGACCCGCTTGGCTCGCTGTATCATCGTTCGGAATGGTGCTAATCAGCCTCAATTGAAAATAATTCTTATCGCCGCGAGCGCCTCGGGTGTAAATCATCTTTGAGACTTGAGACCCCACTTGTTACTTGAGTATCATACAGATAGATGCCTAGGTAGAATCTTTTATTCATTCATTGTTAGTTTCTCACTTTTTTCTCGCTTTTTTTGGGACCGAAACTTGAAACCCTGTATACCCTCTTCATCGCCACATTTGCTAGCCCGTTTCCCACACACATGTTAAAAAATTAAATGGCACATTTGTTGGTGCTAAAAGCTTTCCACTTCTGATTCCCATTTATCAATCAGGGCAAGTGTCCACTTGGTCTTTAGCTCCTGTTAAGACACTACAAATGGCACAAGTGCTCTTTTATCTTCAGAATCGGCGTCAAGCCCACATTCCGGTAACAAATAGGCGCCACAGTGTTGCCGAATGCTCAGTAAATATCATCGATTTTTGATTTGATTTTCTGCTTTGAAGTACCCTTCAGTGTCTTGTAGAGCGAGGTTTCAAGCATTGAATATATCTATTTTTAGGGTTTTACAGACGTTAAATCTCTTATAACTCGAAAACGGTCAACTTTAGGACAAAAATTCAAACGTAAGTTGTAGGGTTTTGAGGGACAAAATGATGGCGACCTTGACAATGACATTAGCAATGACTTTCAAGGTCAAGCGAATGTTTTCCAATGGAACAATATTTTTTACATCGGAAATGGAAAGAGGAGAAAATTCAAGGCCCAATTAAGACATCTAAAACAATCTGCGGCATGCAAAAATGACTGTCAGCTCACTTATAAAGTTTGTGGGGACTCGCGGTCAAGATCACATTCGGTCGTAACATTTTCTGCGTTTTCCATTTCTGGTATAAAAATGAGAGATTTCTCTTGGAAATTTGACCTTGCCTTGATGGTTACGGTCAAGGTCACATTTATGACTTCAAGGTCAAGGTCACATTCGGTCGTAAAATTTTCTACGTTTCCCATTTCTGGTATAAAAATGAGAGGTTTTTCTTGGAAATTTTGACCTGACCTTGACGGTTATGGTCAAGGACACATTCATTACTTCAAGGTCAAAATCGTAAGATATTCTACGTTTTCCATTTCTAGTATAAAAATGAGAAATTTCTCTTGTAAATTTTTACCTGACCTTGACGGTTATGGTCAACCTCACATTCATGACTTCAAGGTCAAGGTAGTAAATTTTTCTACGTTTTCCTTTTTTAGTATAAAAATCTGAAGTTTCTCTAGGAAATTTTAACCTGACCTTGACGGTTATGGTCAAGGTCACATTAATGACCTCGCGGTCACGGTCACATTCGGTCGTAAAATTTTCTGCGTTCTCCATTTCTGGTATAAAAGTGAGAGGTTTCTCTTGGAAATTTTGACCTGTCATTACGGTCATGGTCAAGGTCACATTAATGACCTCGCGGTCACGGTCACATTCGGTCGTAAAATTTTCTGCGTTCTCCATTTCTGGTATAAAAATGAAAGGTTTCTCTTGGAAATTTTGACCTGACCTTGACGGTTATGGTCAAGGACACATTCATTACTTCAAGGTCAAAATCGTAAAATATTTTACGTTTTCCATTTCTAGTAGAAAAATGAGAAATTTCTCTTGTAAATTTTGACCTGACCTTGACGGTTATGGTCAACCTCACATTCATGACTTCAAGGTCAAGGTAGTAAAATTTTCTACGTATTCCATTTTTAGTATAAAAATCTGAAGTTTCTCTAAGAAATTTTAACCTGACCTTGACGGTTATGGTCAAGGTCACATTAATGACCTCGCGGTCACGGTCACATTCGGTCGTAAAATTTTCTGCGTTCTCCATTTCTGGTATAAAAGTGAGAGGTTTCTCTTGGAAATTTTGACCTGTCCATGACGGTCATGGTCAAGGCCCCATTAATGACTTCAAGGTCAAGGTCACTTTCGGTAAAAAATTTTAGGTTTTCCATTTCTAGTATAAAAACAAGAAGTTTCTCTTGGTAATTTTGACCTGACCTTGACGGTTGTGGTCGAGGCCACATTCATGACTTCAAGGTCAAGGTCGTAAAATTTTCTACGTTGTCCATTTCTAGTATAAAAATGAGAAGTTTGTCTTGGAAATTTTGACCTGACCTTGACGGTTATGGTCAAGGCCACATTCATGACTTTAAGGTCAAGGTCACATTCGGTCGAACATTTTTCAGGTTTCCCATTCCTATTATAAAAATGATAAGTTTCTCTAGGTAATTTTGACCTGACCGCGACGGTTATGGTCGAGGCCACATTTATGACTTCAAGGTCAACGTCGTATAATTTTCCATTTCTCTTATAAAAATGAGAAGTTTCTCTTGGAAATGTTGACCTGACCTTGACGGTTATAGTCAAGGTTACATTCATGACTTCAAGGTCACATTCGGTCGTAAAATTTTTTCTACGTTTCTCATTTCTGGTATAAAAATGATAGGTTTCTCTTGGAAATTTTTCCCTGACCTTGACGGTTATGGTCAAGGTGACATTAATGACCTCGCAGATACGGTCACATTCGGTCGTAAAATTCTCTGCGTTCTCCATTTTTGGTATAAAAATGAGAGGTTTCTGTTGGAAATTTTGACCTGACCGTAACGGTTATGGTCAAGGCTACATTTATGACTTCAAGGTCAAGGTCGCAAAATTTTCTACGTTTCCCATTTCTAGTATAAAAATGAGAAGTATCTCTTGGAAATGTTGACCTAACCTTGACGGTTATGGTCGAGGCCACATTCATGACTTCAAGGTCAAGGTCGTAAAATTTTCTACGTTTTCCATTTCTAGTATAAAAATGAGAGGTTTTTCTTGAAAATTTTGACCTGACCTTGACGGTTATGGTCAAGGCCACTTTCATGACTTTAAGATCAAGGTCACAATCGGTCGAAAATTTTTCAGGTTTCCCATTTCTGGTATAAAAATGAGAAGTATCTCTTGGAAATTTTGATCTGACCTTGGCGGTTATAGTCGAGGCCACATTCATGACTTCAAGGTCAAGGTCGTAAAATTTTCTACGTTTTCCATTTCTAGTATAAAAATGAGAGGTTTCTCTTGAAAATTTTGTCCTGCACCTTGACGGTTATGGTCAAGGTCACATTCATGACTTTGCGGCCAAAGTTACATTCGCTCGTAAAACATCCTACGTTCTTCATTTCTAGCATAAACATGAGAGGTTTCTTTTGAACATTTCGACTTGACCTTGACGGTCATGGTCAAGGTGACGTTTGGGTGAATGTCACAACTGAGCTGAAGCAAATTGTTTTCTGTGTCCTGATGTGACCTTGAAATGGCCTTTAAGACAGAAGTCAAGGTCATGGTCAATGTTATTTTCTCTAGTAATAGTTGCATTTCCTTTCATTTCCGATGTGTAAAACGGGGGTTCCGTTTGAAAATATTCACTTGACCTTGAATATCGTAGTTAAGGTCATTGTCCAAGTGGACACCGTGTTTATAGTACAGGGTGGAATTTAGGTGCGTTTTTACTAGGCAGAATTTCATTCAAATCCGTTTGGATGGACACCGTGTTCATAGTACAGGGTGGAATTTAGGTGCGTTTTTTACTAGGCAGAATTTCATTCAAATCCGTTTTCCGGAGGTCGTGCCCCCGTGTCAGCAACTTTCGCTTGGCAACAGCGCATTGTCTGCAGACCGAACGCGTTGGTTGCTGCCCATTTCGGTGGTAATATGAATCGAAGAAGAAGAAGAAGAGAA